ATGAAAACAAATGGGGAAAACTTAAATAAACATGATTAAGTTCAAGAAGCCAATCTGAAAATGCTGTATGCTATATGATTCAAACTATATTACATATTACATTCTAGAAAAGGCTGAAGTTTGGAGGCAATAAAAAGGTCAGTTTTTGCCAGGGCTAAAGGCAATAGTAGATGGATGAATAGCAAACCACAGAGCATTTTTAGACAGTAAAAATATTCTGTTATGATATCATAATGATTAATAAATATATGTAATCTATCTGTCCACACCCATAGTATGTATAACATCAAGTTAAACCATAAGCTAAACTATGGACTTTATGTGACTATGATGTGTTAAAGTAGGTTCATCCTTGGTTAACAAATGTACCATGCTGGTAGGTGAGAAAGCTATTCGTGTGTGGGGACAGAGCATGTATATGATAACTTTCTCTCAATTTTGTTTTGAACTTAAAACTTCTTTAAAAGGTAGTCTTTAAAAAAAGTCACTGCCCTCAAAGTACAAGATTGCCTCTTTGAAGTGGGATTCAATCTGCTTAGATTAAGGAAAGTGGGAGAATGTTGATTGAGATGGCTCATGGAGAGGTAAGGCACCTCAAGTAAAAGGTGTTTAATTACTACGGTCTGAATGCATGAGTACTGAACTATGAGTTTGTATTATATTGAGAGAGTATTAATGTCTTTATATTTCTTCCATTACTTCATATGTGTACCCTCATTAGTTATTCCTAAGCTCCCATATGATTATCATTTAATTAAAATGCGCTAAATAGAATAATGTCTAAGTGAATGACCACTGACATCAGGATTGTGGATAGAGTAGAAACGAGATCTTGTCTTTGGAGTTTATAGATAGAAAAATAAACTCTTCACAGAATATTATGGCTAATTCTCTCTTTCAGTGTCTCCAAGTGCCTGCCAACCTGAAGGTAAGGGTAAAACTGATCCAGACAGGGTAACTATATAGCTATATCTATCTATATCTCTATAACCCTATCTATAGACTTCTGTGATAATGGACACTGAGTATGGAGATTGAGAAGTCCCACCATCTGCCACCTGCAAGCTGGGACAGGGTAACTATTGCTAAAAAACCAAAAACAAAATAAAATAAACAAACAAAAACAACAACTAAAATCTAACTACTCACTGAGACATGAAAACTGACTGAAAATTGGAAGTAGCTGATGTTTAAAGTTCATGTTCTTATTAATTTAACTATATAAAATCTACAATATATAGAAAATGAATTAAGCTAGTTTTCAAGGGAGGATTCAAATATATTAATTAAAATCCTGTAATCTGTAGCAATGGAGGAGTGATACAAATTAAAAAGTAAAAATCAATCAAAGGAATACATCCACTAGAAAAACTGAAAAACATTGGTTGCTTTGATCCTCTAATACAAGAATAGGCAAAACACTTGAAAACATACTGCAAAAAATGCTCTATCAGCCTGACCTAAATCAGTCTCATTCTTCAGATTATGTTTAATTTTCCTCTAGCTGACTCAGTAATTAACAGATGTTATCTTGTGTCTGTTATTTTTGATGTTATTTTTTACAGCATCATTTCTGATGAGTGTAAACAAACAATGTATTATTATATTTTCCAAATCCATTATAAAATAATCAGAAAACTTGAAGCAGAAATCAGATTTTACTAACAGAAAATGTGAGGGAAGAATAGTCAGTACATTTTATGAGAATTTTATAAATAAGTCGAGCATGAAATGAAAAGAATAATGGAGCTCACAATGTCAATCTAAAAGAAGTAACAGATAACATGTCTAGGTCTAAAACACAACATAACATGCATTTTTACCTTATAATATTATGGGTTTTTCCTACAAAAGAGAAAATCAGAGTGAGTAAAATTTTAAAATCTGAATTCCACTATGTTCTTAAATTTTCTGATGGAAAGATTTTAAATCAGTGAAATGAGTTAATAGTATCTCCTTTATATTTTCAAACTTAAAAATATTCAGGACTTCTCTGGCCTTTAAAGAAGCAAGTCACCAAAATTATTTGATCTTATTATTTTTATACTTTAAAAGCCCTTAGGTACACAGCTAGAATTATTAACCTGGAATTCATGTGCTATGTGTCGATTCCGAAAAGTCTAAGGGATCCTGAAATTCATTGGAATGATTCATATGCATGTGCATATGTGTATATTTTAAGAGGAGATAAGACTCATATTTAATAATATGTCAGTATTAGGATTCTCCAAAGAGACAAAACCTATATACAGAGAGAGGGAAAGATATCTATATCATCTCTCTATATATGGACACCGAGTATGGAGACTGAGAGGTCCTACAATCTGCTACCTGCAAGCTGGAGACCAGGAAAGCTGGTGGGTGTAGCAGAGTCCAAGTCCAAAGGCCTGAGAATTGGAGGACTGAAGAGACTGATGTCTTCTCAGATAGTCAGGCATGAGAAATAATTTGACTTTCTCTTCCTTTTCCTTCTATCTGGGTCTTATACAGATGGAATGATGTCTACTCATACTGGGAACAGCAACCTGCTTTACTCAGTTCACCAATTCAAAGGCTACTCTCTTTCAGATACAGCTTCACAGACACACCCATACATAATGTTTTATCAACTATCTTAGCATTCCTTGACTCAGTCAGGTTGACATATAAAATCATCACAATATCTCTGACCCACAAAGTACTAGGATCATTAAAAATTCACTCAACTATACTTACTTCACTAGGCTGAGTCACTTGATTTATCTTCTTTTAACGAACATAAAATCTGGTAGTAAACCTCATTTATTTCTTGTTCTATTTACATTTGCATGCAGCCTAAATTTTGGTTTTGTCCTTCACCATCTCTTCTGACTATGTATGCTCTTCCTTACAATTTTAGCTACATTTTGGCTTTAGCTATCACTTTTATGCTGTTGAGTCCTCTTTATTTCAATCTGTGATCACTCTCCTGAGCTATAAGAACCAAAGCATAATGAGCTTGTATATATTTTTACTGGGTGTTTCTAAGTGAACTGATTAGCACTCACCCAGTCATATTATATTGTGACTTCTTAATTCCCTGTAACAATCAATGAAATCATCTAGTTTCTCAAGGTCAGCAACAAATCATGCCATATTGAGCCTTCTATTTCTTTTCTTATTATACAGAATCTTTTTAATTTGCTAAATAAATGTCTCTTGAATCTTCTCTCTTCATATTGCCAATGTTTAATTTTAAACAACTGTCAGGACTTACATAAGCAATTACAACTTCCTCCTGAGTTTACTTTCTCCTAAATCTACTCACTTTCTCTTCTGATGTCACTAGAACTACCCAGAAAGAAAATCTTCATGGTTCTGTAGTGTTTTCAACTAGTACTTACCACACTGTATTACGTTTTTAAAATTTGCATTCCTGCTTGCTTCTTTACATAGCAGTGTCTCACTCACCTTTCTGTTGACTCAGTACATCCATTTCACACATAATATATAAGTAGTACTATAACAGAGACAGGTATATTCTTACCAAAACTTGTGTCTCCTTCTATATTTTTGAGCTGTTTCTGGGAGACAGCTGTCCAACAGTCGACGTATTTCCCAGCTCCCTAAAAATGCATGTGACTGGTTCTCAGTAGCAAAATTTTAGCAGAAGTGATATGTTGTTTCTAGCTCAGGGCTTTTAACAACTTGGTATATAATGCTCTCACTTTTGCCTTTCACTAGTTGAATGTAGAGAAGTCCAAAGCCTTAGAAGAAAGAGAAGCCAAAAGATGGAAAAAATCTGAATCCCTGAAGCACAACCTGGAGGCAATTACTTTCCTGCCAGAAAAATCTTCATTGGAGAAGACCGAGAAAGAGTAAGTTTCTATTGTGTCAAGACATATTTGCTGCCCTGGCTGATGTGGCTCAGTGGGTTGAGCACTGGACTGCAAAGCAATGGAGCGCTGATTCAACTCCCAGTCAGGACACAGGCCTGGGTTTCAGGCCAGGTCCCCAGCAGGAGATGTGCAAGAGGCAACCACACATTGATGATTTTCTCCCTCTCTTTCTCCCTCCTTTCCCCTCTCTAAATATAAAAATAAATAAAATCTTTTTTTAAAAAAAGGTATATTTGCTTAAAGTGTTATAGCTATTAACTATCCCAACTAATGTTAGACAATAAAGTATTTTGAAATTAATTTTTATAATGTACCCACATATTACACATTTGTATAAATGGGTAAAGGCAGAAAAAAAAAGGCATGTCCCTCTTGCATTTCCCAAAATGTGGTTACAGTATACAACAGGTCATTAAATAATGTTTCATTAAACCTTTTTTATTAGAAAGTTAACGTGATTCCATAGGAACTTAACTCTTGTTCATATCAATTAGCCAATGATAAAATTGGTTGTGTTATATGTTGTTTTACTTAAAGTCAAAGAGGCTATTAATGATGCTAAGTGAGAACTTACTATAATGATCTGGGGGTTCATTATATGCCATTTCCTTTAAATACAGAGAAAAAAATTATAGATTAATTATTTAGAACATATCACAAAATTTACATCCTTATAAAAACTCTCTCCTTTAATAGTTTTTTTTCACTTTAGCATTAAATCAAAAGTACTGTTTTGCTCAAAAAATTTTTAAAGAAAGCATTACAAATAATTAAAGAGAATATAGAATATGTTGACAACTAATTAAGTCAATGGAAGCATCTGGATGCAGGCCCAGTTACACCTATCCAAGAAATAGCCTAAGTTGTCTGAGTAACCATATTACACACATTGCTTTTTCATGTAAATCTGTGTGTCTTGGGATTGTTTACTTTGCCCAATTTATATGTCAATGTTTTTTGCCATTTTTGCATAGTCAGTCAATTTATTTCAGTAAAATTGAATTAACTGGGAAAGAAAATTTAAACAAGCAGTTTCCCCTCCAGCACACTATCCTTCCCACAATGCATTAGAAATTTGTGAAATGAGTGCATACATATATATGTGAGGTGGCGATGATTTTGTAATAATAAAAATCTGTTTTTATTGCTTCTCAGCCTTTTGGCTAAGATCAAGTGTAGAAATCTGTTTATAATTGAATTCTATGTAGATATATTCACTGGTCCTTTTGAATATATTACAATAATACATGGTCAGGGTACAATAATTATTCACTTTGGTTGATCTTACTATAAGTTTGAGGTCTGAAGTCCACTTCATCCTTAATACTCAGGGTGCATATTGAGTATTATGCTTTGGACCAACTGCATCAACATCACCTGCAGCTTGTTGGCATCATAGAATCTCAAGTCTCACCCCAGTTGATTTGTATACATGTTAAAAACTGAAAAGCACTACTCTAGGTAACAAAGAAGATATAAAAAGTGGGTTGATGACAGTTCCACAGGAACTGCACTACTCTGAAAAAATAATTTTATTCCAGTTCACTAAAATATTTCCTGATATTAGGACTTTTGTGAATATTACAATCTAGGCTAAGTCATTTGCCCACTTAGCCTTGGAGTTATAGCATTAAACTTCAGGGAAAATAGGCAAGATTTTCTTACATAGTCCTTATATCAGTTAAGATGTTTCCAGCTGCAAATAATGGAAAAATTCACATTTGCTGAAAGAGACCCTGGGAGTATGTGCTGGGCAGGCCTCAGAAATAACGCTGGCTTCCTTTGCAGGCACTTCCCTTAGTTTTACCCTCCTTCCTGTGTAGTTTAATCTAGACTCTAGAAGATGGTAAAAGACAGCAATAAAATTGACAGGTCTTGCACATGGCAAAGTCATGTCCAGATGAATAAAGAGTATCTTTTCTTGTGGCTAATAGTTAAGAAAGACGTTTTCCCCAGAATTCCCAAGCAAATATCTCCTTGTATTTCATTATTTGATTGGGATAACACATAACCCTCCAAAATCAATCCCTTCCATCAAAGAAATGTGATTCCTTTATTGGCTTAGAACAGTCCCTGAAACAATGGTTGTCAAGGGGATGAAAGGACCTTGACTGACTTATTCTCTTGGATCAGTCCCTCTAACTTCTTCCCAAGTTGCTAATTAATAAGTAGAGGGAAAGATGAATGTTGAGAAACCAATCACAATGTTTACCAAATTCTACATTTCTTTTATTAGAATTTCATAAACATGCCTTCAAAATATATTTGTTAAATACAAAAATTCTAACTTGCCCTGTCTGGTGTGGCTCAGTGAATTGAGTGCTGGCCTGAAAAACAAGGGGTCACTGTTTTGATTCCTAGTCAGGGCACAAAGCTGGGTTGCAGGCCAGGTCCCCAGTAGGGAGCGCACGAGAGGCAACCACACATTGATGTTTCCCCTTTTTTCCTTCCTTCTCCCTCTCTAAAAATAAATAAATAAAATCTTTAAAAAATTTTTAAAAATTCTAACGAATAAACTAGCTGAAATTTCCATATTTTTAAAAATGGTCTGTGAATTTAGCCTTATAAATAAGCATCATTGCTGAAGTTGCCAAACTAGGATCAGAAGTTAGTAGTAACTCAGTGAAGAATCTGTGTAATATGTCCTTCTTCTTGGCACTAAATTTTTTCCCTTTTATTTTTTTTTAGAATTAGTCACAAGACTGATAAGCAAAATCTAAGTACATGGAGATATAAATTATAAAAATATTTAGGCAAGTCAACTGTTATTGAAGTTTGCCTGCGTCAACCATCACAATTTAAAAGTGAGGAATAGACATCACCTATGTGTCCTTCACAGCTTATATATATAAGTGAAATATCTAATGAGTTAATGATATTCACAGTGTTTCAGAATATCGGGAAACACTCCTCCATCTCTCCAAATGCTAGTACCTTTTCACTTCTCAGCCTATGCTGTCCAGGAAAGTCCAGGAAGACTTTCCAACTCCACAGTTCATTTTTTTTTAATTCATGGTATTTTCTCAGCCCTTGTTGACTAGATATCAGTGTCTAATAGTTTTGTAAATATCACCCTTTTTGGCCAATATTATTCAAATTTCTCAAGAGCATAGTAAATCAGCATACTTCTTTATATTGCATACAGGTTGGAGTACAGAATAAGAATTTAATGAAAAAATAATTCAGACATTTAGCAAGCTGTTTTTTTTCCTTCACTGCTAAAGTAAACGTGAAATTTACCCAAAAAAATGTGATAAAAAGTGTTATTGTTTAAAATGATCCATTCTACCTTAAAATCACCACCATAGTTCCAGCCTCACTCTTCTCATTCTAATCGGTTCAAAGATGTATACTGATAGTGAATCCACTGTCAATGGGCCGCTGATAGTGGGCCACACGTGGCTCAGGATGGTGATAAAGGCGGCCCAACCCAAAATCGTGAATTTACTTAAAACATTGTGAGATTTCTTTTGGGGGATTATGTGTCACAGTGTATTTAATGTGTGGCCCAAGACAACTCTTCTTCTTCCAATGTGGTCCAGAGACGCCAAAAGGTCGGACACTCGGAGAGATGGACACAGAAAGGAACTCATTTGAATATGTTTAAAACTACAGATAAAAGTTTTCAATTAATTCAAGCACAAAGGGATATTTTCATGTAAAACCTTTTAACTAATAGAGGTGTCTTGAGGAACATCAGCTGAGGAAATACTAAAGTAGGCAAAATGGATTTGTACTAAAAATCAAGGAAGTAACTTCTAGTCCTAGCTAGGTAGTTCCAGGGTTTAGAAATTCACCCAATTATGACAGGGCATACCACATGCATTTGTTCTACCTAAAATAGTTTCTTAAATAAACTTAATCCATGAATAAACAATGTAGTGCTGATATTTCTGTGTGGGTGCTTTTTGATTCAGTAACCCAATTCCAACACATGTCCTGACACTTGATCCCAAATCCAGTGGCATTACCAAACCAGGCCACATGTTCTTTTTCTCATCTCTACTCTGTCTTCTGCTTTGTCTTCTACTGTGCAGGATTTCTTTCATGGTCTCAAAACTCTTTCTCCTACTATGTGGCTGCATAAGTGCTGTTTCACATTCTGCAGATGTGTGAAAGTATTGTTTTCCCAGAAATTCAGCAAATTCTGAGATTTATTCCAATTAGACTAAGTCATATGTGCTCCATGAACTAATGACATTGGCCAGACTTTGAAATGCACTGCTGGGGCTATGCCAGGCCATGTGCTCTCCCCCTGAGGCAAGACTGGAATTAGCTTCCCTCACGCTACAAGGATGTCTTAGTAGCAAAAGAGAATTTTGAAGAATGAAAAATATGACATTGATACACATGCAGCAAAAAAAAAATTGTTCTCTTCATTAGAGGAAAATGCAAGAAGGATAAAAATTATATATTTGTAAAATGATAAAAGCTCAAGAAGAGAAAGTAAGTGAAATGATCCAGTGATCTCAGCTGAATCACTGTAAATACATGTAATTCACAGCAAGAATATTATTGCAGTTTAGGGATGTCTTTTTAAAAATGTAATCCTCCTCCTTGAAATTAATCTGCATTTTTTGGAAAACATCAACATGCTTATGGAAATTAGGTAATTATTGATTTTGACCAAAAATATAATTAAGGACACAATTTCAGAGAATGAATCTCATGAAGACCAAATAAGATGATATATTGTTCACTGCTTTTTCATATCCTCAAGAAAATACACTTTTGATTTTACCAAAGAAAACTTAGTGCATTTACTCAGATTTTAAACAACTGTTTATCAGTTTTGTTACCAATATTATGCTATACTGATGTGCAAGATTCTGAATTGAGAAATGTTACTTCTTATTTGTGACTAAATTTTAATAATTAAAGAATTTTTAGGTTACTTGAATTCAGATAGAACAACACAGCATTTACAAATCTATTGGTACTATAATGAAAATACTAATCAAAGAATTTTGTAATTTATACCTTCCTTCATTTAAAACAAAATAAAAATCATAAAGAGGGCTTACATAATTTGTTATGCTTGGCTGAAGAAGTCAATAGTATAAGGTTTAGGAAATTAGGGGCTGCTCTGATAACAAAGCTCTTTAAAACCCAGAAAAGAGAGCCTCCTCCCCTTCATCTTTTTAGTAGGATGCAAGCCTAGAGGTGGTTCCTAGTGGGGTTGGTTGGCCCTGGTTTAGACAAGCCATCTCTGAGGGGGACAACTGATACTAGTATCAATCTTAAATGCTACATACATTTGGCATTAAGCCCTCACTTCCTTCCATTCAGAATTCATCTTTGTGCCCCTCTTATTTAGAAAGTCTCAATTAGCCGCTGCAGCAAATGTTATACACAGGCATTCTTAATTGTTTCTGTTGTTGTTTTTGTTTCTTGTCAGCCTGAATACAAAGAATCCTGATAGTTTTTTCATGTGAATGTTCCAGTCCTATTGTTTCTTTGGCTCTTATATTAACTCAGCTCTTCGGTGCAGGCTGGGACTTAGTCAAATACTAGTAGAGGCTTCTTCTGGACTGAAGCATCTTAATGACATGTCAAAAAGAGCTATAAACTTCAAGGGGTATGCACTTATTTTCAACTTACTGTATTTATAGTGATGGCAAGTTGGGGTGACACATACCATGTTTAACCTCACAAACAATTTGCTGAACACATGCTTTGTGCTCAGCACTGTGCCAAGTGATTGGGGCTAGAGAAGTGAAAATGCAATGTCTGCACCACAAGGTGACGATGCTTCAAAGTAAAAACATGGCATACATTATAAACAGTGCAAATGCTATATTGTGCAGTTTGGGAGAGCTACAGATACACGAAGCTTTAAGTCACAAAAAGCTTCATAAGAAAAAATAGGCCAACTTTTTAAATATTATGATACACAATCACAGCCTGATAATTTCCCAGCAATTGTCTTTCCTTGCCCCTTCCACCTATTATTTTACATTGTCTACATAACTCTTAGCAAAGTGATATATATGTAGGTCCTTAATAAATGATGATAGCATGGATATTGAATATGAGAGTCAGGTGTCTGTATCCATTAGAGGGTTAGAAACTTGCTTATCAAAAAATTTCTGTGCATTTTGTCTTCTCCCCAGTAGTCAATGAAATGAAGTGGTAACTGCAACAGTCTTCTCATTCTGTACTCGTAACAATGTTTGTGTACCAGTCTACCAATCTTCCTCCAAACTCAAATGCAATCTCTGTAATAAACGTTATAAGCATAGATGCTTAATTAGGAAGCTGGAAGAAACATTATATATTCAGAATAATTCAGTTTAACTTCAAATAGAAATGCTGTCTTAATAATGCTGCTTTTCCTCA